GAGAGGGATAGAGAGTTAGAAACATTGATGAGAGAGAAACATCAATCAGCTGCCTCCTGCACATCCCCCATTGGGGATGTGCCCACAACCAAGGTAGATGCCTTTGACCAGAATCGAACCTGGGACCCTTCAGTCCACAGACCAGCGCTCTATCCACTGAGCAAAACCGGCTAGGGCTAGGCCTCTAGTTTTTTAAATAAAAAAGGTAACATTCAAATGTGGGCTACTAGACATTTTAAAGCTGAGTATTTGATGTTACTACTACAACTATGCCGTTTTCAATTCCATCACTCATCAAACTCCCATCTTGTACTGGTAGCCTATTGAGCCTGAGGACTCTTGAAATGCCAACAGCAGTCGTCGAACTTTTACTACCCTTGTATATAACATTAACAACTCTTTTATATGTTCTTAAATTAACCTTCACATTTAAGATACCTTGAAAACCATTTCCTTCCCTTGCAGGCTTAGGTACCAGGTAGAATGGCTGTAGTCTTAGGCTTTTCTTTACTTTTCTTCCAAGCCAATTTTCAATGGGCATGCCTTTCTGGGTGCTCAGTGGCCAGCTGCTTTGTACTTTCAAAGCCAAGATTATATCCACAGATATTTCTTTAGGTGTTTTAATAAGAAGTGTTACAGCAGGACATCCTCTCTTTTTCTTCTCCACAATGATATCTGTATCTGTTTAAACATGTAAAAGGGGAAAAAAGGGTTTAGCAATCTAATTTTCTTGAAAATATAGGAAAAAGAGCATAACTATAGTTGGATATCTAGAGAGTATTAAGATGAAAATTAGTTCCAAAGCAGAAACTGACCCCACAACACAAAATGTTTTACTCGTTTAGCCAATATTCATTGATAATGTATTATGGCGGGACGGTACTGTCAAAATCTGTCTAGCATGATAATGAGGAGCCCCTGAAAATTGGGGTTTGGGAGTGCTTTGGTTAGATTTTCACTTAAATTGATGAACAGCAATTTGGAGAGAAGCCTGGAAAAGAGGGCAGATGAGCGGCAGAAGCAACCCATGTTCACTGCAGTGTTACTCACGAAGGCCAATGTATGGAAACAATCTCAGAGTCCATTGACAGATGAGTGGATCAAAAAAAAATTGTGGTCTGGCCCTAGCTGGTTTGGTTTAGTGGATAGAGTGTCAGCCTGTGGACTGAGGGTTCTGGGTTCAATTTCGGTCAAGGGCACATGCCCGGGTTGTGGGCTCGATCCCCAGCGTGGAGTGTGCAGGAGGCAACCGATCAATGATTCTCTCTCATCATTGATGTTTCTATCTCTCTCTCCCTCTTCCTTCCTCTCTGAAATCAATAAAAATATACTTAAAAAAGAAATTGTGGTATGTACAGGCACACGTTGGAGATATTGTGGCTTCAGTCCCAGACCACTGCAATAATAAAGTGAATATTGCAATAAAACAGGTCACAAAAATTGTTTGGTTTCCCAGTGCATATAAAAGTTATGTTTACATTATATTGTAGTCTATTAAATGTGCTCTTGCATTATGTCTAAAAAACAATGTAAATACCTTAATTAAAAATATTTTATTGCTAAAAAATGCTAAAGCATCATCTGAGCATGTCGGAAAAATAGCACCAAGAGACTCACTCAACACAGGGCTGCCACAAACCTTCAATTCATAAAAAACGCATTATCTGTGAAGTGAAACGAACTGAAGCGCAATAAGATGAGGTATGCCTGTATATGAATGGAATATTATTCAATCTTAACAAAGAAAGAAATCCTGTCATTTGTGACAACATGCGTGAACCTGGAGAAAATAAACCAGATACAGGAAAGCAAATGCTGCATGACCTCACTTCTATGTGAAATCTAAAAAAGCAGAAGACAACAGAAGAAGAGAGTAGAATGGTGGTTACCAGAGGTGAGGAGGTGAGGGAAATGGGAGATATTGGTCACAGGGAACAAAGTTGCAGTTAGGTAGAGTGAGTCTAGACATCTAGTGTACAGCATGATGACTGTCATTAATACTACCACACTGATAACTAGAAACAGTACAATATTAAGTATTATGCTAAGAGAGTAGATTTCAGGTACTCTAACCATACATAAAAAAAGGTAACTATGTGAGATATGTTAATTATCTTGACTGTGGAAGTCATTTTACTATGTATATGTGTATCAAAGCATCTTAAATATATACAATTTTTATTTTTTTAAAGACACAGGTAGCAGAAATGAGAGCAATTAAAGAGGTTAAAAACCAGAGAACTGGTAGATGGACTGAACCAGCAAGATAAGGAAGAAGGTACAAGTTCTGGGATGCCATCCAGAAATTTAGCCTAGGAATTGATTAATGTTGATTCCATTCTTCTATAGAGAGCAGCGGTCACCAACCGGTGGTCCATGGGGTCCGAAAGGTTGGCGACCGCTGATATAGAGTAAGCAGGAGGAAGAAGGGTTGAGCTGAAATGAACTTCATTTTAGACACACTGAGCTCTATGTGCCTATGGGACACCCAAGTGGAGATAGCCACTGGGCAAGTAGCTATGGTGGTCAGAAATTCAGGAAAGACTTCCAGATGAGAGATACTGGCTTTGGGGTCTAGGGGTGTATAAGCAGTAAAGACTACTCCCAGATAAGACTTCTGGAAGGGACCACAGTGAGAAAGAATGCCAAGGAGAAAATCCTAGAGAACACTCTCATTTTCTTATCATCAAATCTGCAAACCTCCCCCACTCTTACCCATTTTATCCTTCTTCCTCTTATAACCACCGAGGAAATGTCCATTCACCTTTCCAAGGCCACCCCTGGACCTGCCTCTGGATCCTCACTTGCTCAAGACCTCGCTCCTTCAATTGTTCCCTCTCTGGCATCACTGGACTCCCCCGCCCTGCTGGATCATTCCTCTCCACATACAAAGGGTTCCAGTGTCCTTCATTCTAAAATATACCTCTCTTTTGGCCCTAAATCAGTTTCCTCCCCATACTTACCCATATTTCTTCTTCCTTTGCAGCCAAAATTTTCCAGAATGGCCTACACATGCTGTCTCTACTGCATCCCTGCCCCTTTGTTCTTGTGTGTTCATAATCTCTCTAAAACTGCAAAGTTAACAACAATCCCCACAAAACCACGGACCAAATCAAATGGTTTTTGGATGTCAGCAGCATTGTAAACACTGACCACTGCTCCTGTAAAACCACTCATAGTCTCCTTTCATTCCTTCTCTTCTCCCCAACTTCTAATGGGATCCTCTTCTTACCACTC